AAAAAAAAAAAAAAAAGAGCTGCCAGAACAGCTCCTATGTATGGTTACTGGGAAATAACTTTTTATTGCAATAGTAACTGGAAGATTATTAAGAAGAGAAGAATCCAGCTTCCAGATAGGTGGCCAGATATGGCAAAGTGCAAATGATGGGTGGTATACAGAAGGATGTGTGTGCTTGGGAAACAGTGGAGGCAAAGGTTGCATGGGTAGAGGGCAGGGAAGCAGCAGGCCTCATGATGAAGAGCTTGGCATGGAGTTTGGTCAAGTCAGTAGAGGGCAGCCACAGAAGAGGAGGAGGTCTAGGCCAGGTTTGTCTTATAGAACAATCTGGCTGCTCTCTGCAAAGTGACCTAAAGTGGAGCGAGCCTACAGGGCGGGAGAAAAGTGAGAAAGGGGTTCAAACACTGCATCTGAGCCAGAATGGGTCCTAGTCACAAGAGTGGAGAAGATGGGGATGACAGACTGAATCCAAGAGACATGGCTGAGTCAGAGGACGGAGCGTGGCAATCAGTCACTGGGGGATGGAGTGGGCGGGAACAGCGATGGTGCTTAGCTTCTGACTGGGGTTGATGAGAACACTATCCAAGCAGGGAGCCCAGGAGAAGCAACTGGTCTCAAGAAAGGGAGACACCTCTGTCTTTGTGCAACTTGAGACTGAAGATCCTGCAAGATACCATGCCATGGGTATCTGATCGGCAGCTGGAAATCAGGTCCTGGGATGCAGAGAGGTCAAAGCCAGATCACAACTCAGAGTTAGTGGCTGAAGGCTTGGGGATGGATGAGATTATCCAGGTACAAAATATATGCAACAAACAGACCCCAGGACAAAAAAGTCCTGGGAAAAGTTGGGGTTTAAGATGTAGTTGGAGGGAGGAACAGCACTAGGTGGCTGAGGAGGTAGAGGGTCATGGAGAGGAAAATAAACAGCTCCTGGTAGGCTGAAGGAGGCTCCTGGGTGTACTCTTGAGAAAGTGCTTCTATAGAATGAAGGGGATGGCAGTCTGGTTATTAGGGTGGAGGCCCTAGCAGAGGTGGGAAGGAGAAAGGCAGCTCCTTCTCTGACAGGTGTGGAGGGAATGCTACCAGCTTGGAGCTGTGGGAAGGGCAGGGGATGGTACTTTCACTGGCCTCTCTTTGCTTACTGTGGCAGAATATCCTCTGTTGCAAGAGAGGGCAGAGGAAGATTTAGGCTAACATTTGCAGTAATGAGACAAGCTGAGCTTGTAGAGGAACATTACATACTGAGTGGAAATCAGGAAGGTTTAGAAGGTGCTCCCCTCAAGCTAGAAAAGGCCAAGGAAGATGAAGATAGCTTTGAAAGGGAAGTCTGTTCAGTGGGATCAGAGGGATGTGGTTCAAACTCTAGCTCAGCCACTGGACAGATGGGTTGCTGCCTCCTCATCTGTAAGAGAGGTAACTGTTTGCTTTACTAGGTAGTCATGGGGACCATGTGAGATGAAATGTGTAAATGTTCAGTGCATTACTATTCTACTCAGCACTCAGCTGTTGGTGGGTATTATTATTATTATTTTCCTAGGATGCCAGGATTTGAGAGCAGAGAGGGAAGGGCCGGGGAAAGAATAGATAGGACTTTTGGAATGAGATGCCAATAAGAATTTTGGTGCAGAATGTATATTTTTCTGCCTGGCCTCCTTCCCAGACACTGGGAGGATTTGGCTGAAGGAGCAGGATCACAGTGCCAGGTACTGCGGAGGATAAGGGGTACTGGACAGCAGGCACTGCAACTCTGTCTTTGCTCACAGTGCCCAGGAAGCAACCTGTGCCACCTTTCTCTGGCACCTAGGAGCTGGGGGCTGCAGCTAAGACCATCTCAGGTCTGGTGGCTGCTATTGGGAAAGCTTGGGACCGACGGAGTAAGTGAGTATCTATAAAGCCATGTGGGTGAACTGTGCAGTAAAACTTGTGCTTAGGAAGGCAGTATACACAGGAAAGAGCCTTGCTGCAGGAGGAATGGAGGAGTAGGAGCTGGCCTCTCCAACAGGAGGCGGAGGATGCAGTCCTGGTTGATCCCTAAGCAGTGGAGTTAGCAACCTGGCTGGGATGGCATTGTGTTATCTTAAGGTTATTCGGTCTGTCCTTTTCCATTTGAAAAAACCCTGTCCAACTTCTCAGGATTGTGAAAAACTTGGCTTGAGGGCTCTCCTGAAAAGGATTTCTTGCTCTAAACCTTATCAAGAGTAGAGATTTTTAGTCTTGATTGCATGGAGAATTCACAGAAGATCTTTTGGAACCTATCACTAGAGGATGCGATTTAAATTCTCCCCAGAGTATTGTTATGTATGACCAGAGCTGAGATTCTCTAGAACAGCAGATAAAACACCCTGCACATGGCAGGTTAGAAACAGAAAAATCTGGGCTTAAATTCTGGCCATTATTTGTGTGGCTCTAGGCAAGTCCCTTAATCTCTCAGAAGAACAGGAATAATATTTACCTTCTTTTTAAGTTTCCTGGATGTATTAAATGAGACAAGTATTCAGAGAGAGAGAGAGCAGAAGACTTAATTTTAATCATGCAAGACTTAAAAGTGGAAAAGTCAAACATCTCTTTTCCTCTTGGAGGTACTTTAGAGGCCATGCTAGTGGTGCTGTGTCTGGACTGGTTTATGTTTGTACAGCTGGCACGATTTCTCAAGTCCTTCTATCCCCTATCTGGTCCAGGTGCACACTGGTCCTCATAAAGTAGGTAAGGAGAATACTTTCCTTGCTCAAAGGGCAAAGCTCCCTCCAGGAACTGCCTTTCTTCTGAGTGCCCCCTGGCCCCAGTGCAGGGGAATTTAGCCTAGAACCTGCCCCATCCTCCATCCTGAACCAAGACCAATAACTGGGGTGGCCCTTTGGGTCCTGCAGTGCCTGGCTCTGCAAGGTAAGGGTGACCCACCATCAGTAGCTTGGGAGTAGAGTTGCCTCCATGGGCCCTCCTGTTCTTTGTTGGCCAGGAAGAAATTATCCACAGGAGCTGCTGGGCTCTCTTTGAAACCTAACAATGTGAAAGATGGTGTTGGTGCTCAGGCTGTAATTTCTAGAATTGATTGTTGGAATTTGTAAAAAGCTTCTGACTTGCCAATATCTCTCAGTCATGACGTGAGACTTGGAATCTTTGGGCCAAGAAAGGAATGAGCAACCCATCCATAGGTTTCTGATTTGATGATATCTGAAAGTCATCAGGTTCCAGTATGTGCTATGGATCTATGTGTGCTGTAGAAATACATGTACCCCTGCCAGGTATGTTCATTCTGAGGAGCAAAGACTGGGCTCAACTGTGGTCAGCATAAACCTAAACTCAGACAGGTGTTTGGTAAATGAAGAGCTATTTTTGTTAAAAAGGTGGTAGGGAGAGGAGCATGGAGCACATAATTTTAAAAGGAAAAAAAGATAATGTCTACTTGAGTATTTAATCCCTTTTCTTGTGTATGTGTTCCTAGAGGAGGAACAAAGACTTTATTATAGGCAAGGGCTAAAAAAAGTAGTTGTCATTTGTTTTTTATTCATTCATTCATTCACCATTCAAAAATATTTTACAAGCACCTCCTGAGTATGAGAGTAATCATGTTCTGGAAAGTTACAGCTCATGCCCTACCTTCCCTGGGGGTGCTGGCATCTTTCCACTGATGACATAGTCATCATGTCTCTGGGAAATCAGTCCTGTGCGACTGGCTTTGATTCTCCCTTTGTCTTGCCAACAGCCATCCTTACCCCACCTGGGATGGAGGTCTCCAGAAATGGCTTCCACCTGGTTATTGAGCTGGAAGACCTGGGACCCCAGTTTGAGTTCCTTGTGGTCTACTGGAGGAGGGAGCTGGATACCAAGGTGAGGCTTCCAACCTTGGCCCATGAATTAAGCTTTGGGGAAGGAGGCACAGCTTTTACTAAGTGAGTGAGGAAAGGTAGCTCCTGCAGTGCAGAGTGTCTGGGTGGCCTGAGGATGAAGATCTTGGGTGAAGCTTGTGAACGGAGAGATGGGAGTATGCTGTCCATCCACTGGGATCCTCTGCAAAGAATTGCTTTGGTTCATTTCAGGCCTTTGCTAGAGACCATTTCAGGCTGAAGTTTGGGGACTGCCTTTTTGCCCTAAACTCTAACTTAATTGGGCCCATAACATTTTTAAAATGCATTTTTTCCCCTTCCCTCATTAGCTGGTCTCCTTAGCCACTTAGGGGCAACAGGCCAGGGCATTGCAGATCAACCAGATGATTTCAAAAGCAGATGAGGCTAGTATAAACCTCTTGTGCATGTGTATCTTGGCGGGGTATAGAAGTGGGGGCAGTGACCCTGGAACTAGCTTATGAATAATCTAATTACAAGCAGGTGGGCCATCCAAAATGCCAAGAAGGGAGCTGCCCCTCCCTGTGGGAAGGTGACTATAATGTTCGGTGAGTGGGATGCCAGCCCTCATCAATAGGTAGACAAGCAGCAGAGAAGGGGTACAGCTTGATCAGGCACTGGGGGACACTCGGACCTGTGGAGCCCTGTCCAAGCTGCTACGATGACAAGGCTTCCAGGCCCACTCCAGTCGGCACACAGAAAGCCCTGCTTTTTTGTAAGAATCGATGTGATGCAGTAAGGGGCTCCCCCAGGATCTGTGAGCAGCCAGACTCTCAGCTAGGTAGCAGCACAAACTCACCTACACAGAAGACCTTGCCTCCTTCTGCTAGGACCTCTCCTGGGGCCCTCACCTCAGTTTACTCCTAGGCCCTACCTCCTTGTCACTCCTTCCTACATATGCCTATAACTAGTGTCTCCTCCTGATGCCCCTCACTATGTCCTCTCTCCTTTATTGCTGCTTGAGGTATTCAGTTTCACAAGACCATATTCTTAGGCAAGGAATCCATTGTCCTGCTCATCTTATCAGCCTAAGCCTTAGGGGTTGCAGGTAGCCAGCTGCCTTGATTGGATTATTCTCAGGTTGGGTGTATCCCTGATTATAAGAGTTCCTGAGGGCAGTACACATGTCCTGTCCCATCCTGTCCCCACCCACCCTGCACCTAACAGGGGCTGTAGGTTGGGTAGTGTCCCCTGGAAGGTGGGGCAGGCAATAACACAAGAGTCCTATTATATTTACTCCTATTGGTAGGACATGGCATTGCCAACAGGCAGATGGAATGGTGTGGGAGATAGGCCAGGGCCTAGTGGGAGAGAGGATGCACCTCCCTCAGATGCTTTGGGATGAAGCCCACTCTCCACCCTTGTAACTGGCAGGGTTAGTGCTGAGAGAGGAGCGTTACCCTGAGTCATCCAGGTTTGGCCCAGACAAGCCTCTGCAGGCTCAGTCACAGAGCGCAGGCCTTGGGGAGAGAAATAGAGGTGGGAAGGTAGACAGATGGATGGACATACAGGTGGACAGATGGATGAGGAGGAGGGGTGGTCTGCAGCTCCTCTGCTCTTGCTCACTGACCCCGCTGGCAGCCTTGGCCATGCCAAGCCCCAGCTCGTCAGATTTCCAACCTGGCAAGCCCTCTCTGTTACAACACTGTGCCGCCTCCCCTCCCTCCCTCCCTCCTTCTCTCTCTCTCTCTCCTCTCTCTCCTCTGTGTGTGTGTGTGTGTGTGTGTGTGTGT